CCCCCCCAACTTTGGAAAGCCCTCCCTATGGAGATCTGCCTGGCTCCAACACTTTTGGCTTTTCTGCGCCAGACAAAGACCTTTCTGTGTAGCCAGCATTTTAATTAAATAGTATTCTTTAGCTGGCCATATGAGCAGCAGGATTTATTAACATTAATGTTTTAAGAATTGTTTTAATATAGGATATTATTATAATATTGCCTATTTTTAATGGTTTAAATGTTTTTAAAGTTTTAATATTGTTGTACGCTGCTCAGAGACCACTGGTAATGGCGTGGCTAAAAAATCTTGTAAATAAATAAAATAAAATAACAATAGATATTATACTTCACATATATATTGTGATTTTGCTTATGAATCTTGATCAGAGTAATAACGTAATGGTAACCTTCAGGGATCCTACAGGCTAACCTAAGCTGCATTCTGTTCTTCCCAGAGCCTTTCCAAAATTCTTGTATTTAATGAATGTCAGGATGCAGAGAGAAATTAATTGGTCTTAATGAGCATTTATTTTGTACATTGGAAATTTGAATATCTGGGCCAGCATTTAGTAGTTGTTTTGAAATGAAACAGTCATTGCTTATTGGCAATTCTGACTGAGTGTTTTACGGCAATTTAATTAATAATTTCTTACTTGTTTATTTCTCCAGCTAAAGACTACTCAGGAACCAAGAGCAAAGAAAGGACGACGTAATCAAAGCGTGGAACCCAAAAAGGAGGTAAAGGACATTTGATCCAAACACTTTTGGATAAGATAGAACAAAAACTGCAACATGCAGCCTTTCTTTTGGATTAAGCACACATTCATTCTATGCTTCATTATTGTTTAACATATAAATTTCAGGAAAGCCATTTCCAAAGTCACAATAAATAAATGTGTATTTTTAACGGTTGAGCTGCTTGACAACATTCCTTTTCCATTTCCATTCAAGGAGATGCTGTTTGATGGTGGTGGGAAATAACTGCATATGTTTTAAAATGTGTATATTTTTCTGTGCATTTCTACATGGTACATGTGGGACAAAATCCTGTTTAGCATAGTAAATTGCACTACAGTCTATTGAATCAGTGGGGATATACTGTGGCGTACTTTAGCTTATTAAAAGTAGGCCTGTTTGAATCAATGGAATGTATTGAGGAGTTGACTCATTAAATTCCCATTGATTCAGTGGATCTACACGAGAGCAATCTGGGTGAGCAACAGGATTTTGGCCACTGTTTGCAACATCCACCTGCTAATGTCCACCATCTTACAAAGCAAATTATAGATTCCCATCTTAAAGTACGACAGCATAGTAAAGCAAGTTAAATTATATCCATCAAGTTAAACTATATCTATGGTAGGTGTGATTTCATCCCATCCTAATCTGGAGTAAAATTAGAATTACACAGTCCTCTGTGTGATACTTGTACCCAATGTATGTTTTGCTTCAGTGTATTTCAGTCTGTATTTTTGTAGCCGTCTTAATTACCCCTCATGACGAATCATTTTGTTGATTCTTCTCAGGAACCAGAGCCTGAGACGGAAGCAGTGAGTTCAAGCCAGGAAATCCCTCCAATGCCTCAGCCCATCGAAAAAGTGTCTGTATCGACCCAGACCAAGAAGTTAAGTGCCTCTTCTCCAAAAATGCTGCATCGGAGCACCCAAACCACTAACGATGGAGTGTGTCAAAATATGTGCCATGACAAATACACCAAAATCTTCAGTGACTTCAAAGAAAGAATCAAGGCTGATCACAAGCGGGAGACTGAGAGGATTATGCGAGAAGCTATTGAGAAGGTAACTATGCCTACAAGGAAGAATTTAGGAAACGTAGGCATTAAGGCTAAGGATAACATCATCCCTGAGTTGCAGATCATCATCCATGGGGGGGGTGCGGGTTGGAGGGGTGCCCTTCACCGTATGGTCAGTCACTTCACAGGAAAGCTGTTCTAAGCAGCCCACTGCTTTGCTGCAGAGGTCTCAAGCCTCATAGGCCTCCTGGCCTTCTACAGAAAGGAAGCAATACGTGAAAACCACGTTTGGAGAGATCTAAAGAGCTTTTCCATTTGAAAGCCCTCTGGTTTACATCTTACTTCAGCCGTGCATGCTGCTCCGTTGGGTGGCTTCAGGAAAGCTGCAATTTTCTTCCCCAAATATATAAGAAATAAGGCCCTGCCTTCCATGGCTGTTGTAATAATGCCTGCTCATATTATTCTGTGAATTTTTTTTTCATTCTTCTCTGCATAGTTTGTGATTATTTACTATACCAGTCTTCAAAGAACAGCACATAGGGTTTCTTTCTTTCATTTGAACCAGCTCTGCTCACATGTCATAGACGATGTAAAGTTGTTCTCTGTCTTTCAAATGCACACACACTCATACACGTACTGTACAGGTTGAAAGATAGCCAAGAATTCAGGAAAAGTGGGAGCCATAATGTTGGGAAGAGAGTAGAGTTTTTTTTTTCAGGCATTTGAGCTGGTTAAACCTGGGTGAAAAAATTAATGATGCTAATATTCAAAGCAATATTGTTACTGTTATTTAAAAACTATGTAAAATATTCCAAGGAATATTATATACCTGCCTCTTTAATAAGAAAATATTTAAGTCTTTTTCTGAGATCGTGCCTGCACCAGCTTGAGCAAGGGTTTCAGCAAGAGGTGACTATTTTAGATTGGAGCCATGCAGCGCATAGTGGCAGCATAATTCCAGATGCATTAGGCAAGCTAAAACCACAACTGCACATTCACTTGGATTCTGTTTGTCATGGACTGGATGTTCAGCTGAGGTGCAGCTGATCAATACAGTTGTGTAGTCATAGCCTGGGAGAGTCTCAGAGAGTTTTTACTGGGATCGACTTGGTACTTCTGCTTCCTACAAGTGACATGACAGCTGTTTTCTTTCTGATGGCTGATGTTTCTGAAAGTATCCTAGCACAACTCCATGGTGAGGGCTGACGGCTTCATTTCCATCTGTCTCGATGTAGTACAAGTCAACGGACTGGGTCAGCTAAACATTGAAAAAGAACCTGACAGAGTACCTCTTGGAATTCATATCCTGAATGTTGGTTTTTGGAAGAAGAGAAGGAGGAAAAGATCATGCCCCTTTATTTGCTTCTTTTGTTGCAGTTGCGTACAGAAATGGAGGAAGAGAAGAGGCAAGCTGTGAACAAAGCGGTTGCAAATATGCAGACTGAATGTGACAGAAAGACAAAGCAGGTGAAGGAGAAATGCAAAGAGGAGTTCTTAGAAGAAGTTAAGAAGCTAGCGACTCAGCACAAACAACTGATTTCGCAGACCAAGAAGAAGCAGTGGGTAAGCAGCGCTAGCTAGATGATGGATGCATAATGGCATGGACATTTTGTGGTTAAAAACCTAGTTTACAAGTACTTATTTATGGGGTTCATGAAATGTACCGTATTTTTTCATGTCTAAGACGCCCCCATGTATAAGACGCCCCCCCTTTTCTAATTCAAAATTAAGAAATCTAAGTGAGGTTTAGGAAGGGCAGGGGGAAAGGGATAAAAGGATCGCTTTGATCCCTGCTTTTCCCTCCACTTGTTTTTGTTCTCTCCTCAGCTTCCGTGTATAAGACAAGCCTCAATTTTTAGTCTAAAGATTTTAGACAATAATATAGTCTTATACATGGAAAAATATGGTATTTATTTCTCCATTATGCCTGCTGTCCTCTAACACTGAATCATACCTTCATTATTTGCATTTCCATCTTGACTAGTCAGAAGAGAAGAATGAGGTTGACCTTTTCCTTAATGCCTCAGAAGGTCTCCTATTTCTTCCCCTTAAAACATTTACTACTTTAGGTGGGGAATTTCAGCACCAAATACCATTTTTCAGCCTTGTTGGCAGCCTGAGCAATACATTTCACCTAGGGGTGGGTTGGGGAAAAGGAAAGATATGGCCAAAGAGTCTAATTTGCATATTGGTTATTATTCAAAACCATAAAGACTGAGGTTATGTTCTGTAAAGGTTGCTACAGTTGCTTTTGTTAGCTGAGAAATTAATTTAACCGACACCTTTTTTTAATTGAGAAGGCTTCATTTCACCATCTAAGGGCCCTAATTTTTTAAAAAATTGGGTACATAGGGGCCCAAAGGTTTGGGAACCTCAGACTTATGGCATAATTTGAGAGGAGACTATGGGCCCCCGTGGGGCCAGGGAAGCCGCAAAAAGCCTCTTGGGATGGTCCCATCACTGCCTTCGGGAAATGCACAGAGACACATTTTTGAGTGCTCTGTGAGTGATAGGTAGTTGGAAATGATGTTCCAGATAAACTTTCTTACAGTTCAGTTCAGTTGTTAAAGGGGAGGGAAGTAGTAAGAGCTTTTACTGCTCATGGGAATGTGAAGATGAGATTGGCTTTCAGCACAGCCGCTCTCTGCTGGAAACCTTGCCCTTTCATACAGTTTCTACTCATAAGAAAAGATACAGCTGTAGACGAGGAAGGCTTGTGTGGTGCCTTGCCACAGCTTTCAACTCTTAATTTCAGTCCCCCATATTTTGCTCTACTACTTCTTACTAGGGATCTTAGAGGCAGGGTCATTGCTACCATCTTTCTAGACCAGGGGTCCCCAACCTTTTTCACCCTGTGGACTGGCTGGGGAAAGCGGGGCACCCCCCGTGCTCGTGTGCACATGTGAATGAGCACTATCTTGTGCGCATGCACTAACGGCAGTGCAGCGCTCCCGTGCTCGTGTGCACATGTGAATGAGCAGTGCAGCGCGTGTGCAGGGGCACTATTGCGCATGCACAAATGGCAGCACTGCGCTCATGTGGGCATGCTGCAGCATGCGTGCAGGTGCAAACAGGCTGTGCAGGGGTGATTGCAGGCAGGGAGCGGGGTGTCTGTCTTTGCGGCCCGGTCCGGCTCAGGCCATGGACTGGCACTGGGTCGCAGACCGGAGGTTGAGGACCTCTGTTCTAGACCACTTGAAAGGCAAACATGTAGATTGTTATGCCTCTTGCTTAGGTCTGTAGCTCACATCTTGATATATTCCTCTTTTGGTGGGGATTGAGGCTAGCCTCCTCCCAGCTTGTTCAGTACCAAAGATACGTCTCTAAGAGCAGAAAAATACAATTTTTATTTCAAGCACTTGTGGGTGCCATTTTGCCATATGTTGCTCACTCAGATCCAAACCCGGAGTCACTAGACTCACAAAACGTGCGGACACCAGTGCCACAGAAGATTGGTTGTGGGAAAGCAGAAAGCCACAGAAAAATGCAGCAAGACAAGAGAGCTTATATGCCCAGTTAGAATGCATGGGTACCATTTTTCATTTTCTCACTGCAGTGCTACAACTGTGAAGAGGAGGCGATGTATCACTGCTGCTGGAATACTTCCTATTGCTCCATCAAGTGTCAGCAGGAACACTGGCACGCCGAGCACAAACGCACCTGCCGCCGGAAAAGATGAACTCTTCCTCTGGCTACCAAGAGTCACCCTGATTGAGTGCTGTCCTCTTACACAGCAGGTTTTGGGGTGGGGGGTTGTTTGTAAAATTTGTTTCCAGGGGGTCAGAATTGTGTAGAATTCATTCCCCAATGTCTTTCCTTTTTTTTCCCCCCTTTCCCTTCTTTTTGTTTTTGCACCAGCCTTCAAAACACTTTTCCGTAATAAACTTTTTTGCACAGTTAAATTCCAGTCTTGGGTTCTAATGCTCCTCTCAGATTGTCCCCCCCCCACCTTCATTTTCATAAGACGATTTGAAGCTCAGCTGGAGCGCATTACCTTTTGATAAAATTTAACCTAGGAAACGTGTTGCAGTTTCAGCAAATAAAAAAGAAAGAAAAGCAATGTTTTTAGGTTTCATAGAAACGAAGAAATATAATGACAGGAACGTATTAAAGAAGTCTGAATGTAAGAAGTTTAAAACTGCTAAGAAGAAGAAGAAAACGTACTACCTGGATGTAAAACTTACCTGTTAATCATATGAGCTGGTTTTGTTCAGCTTAATTTACTGTTAAAAGGCATTATCTATTGGTTTGTACCACTGGGTATACAGTTGAATTTTGGGAACAGGGTTGACGCTGCAGGTGCTAGTCCTGCATATATTTTTTTTCTTAAAACTTTTTTCCCAATTGCGTTTGTTTCATTATTATTATTTTTTTCAATATATAGCTTTTATAACAAAAAAAAATTAGCTTTGATCTTATTGCTTAAAAAAATCACAGGGGACTGGGATAGCCTTTTGCTGAGCCAGACCTTAGGGGAAAATATTTAAATTTAAAATTTTGCACATTTCAACCTTTTAACACGAATGCTTATAAAAAGAAAGCCAAAAAAAAAAACACAAAAAGAATGCCCAGTTTTACGTTTAGTCATGTATATGCATTTATAAAGATGAGGCATAAGAAGAAAACAAGCTTACAAGTTTGTCCCCAAACACCCCCTTCCCCATAAATCCCTACCATATGGACTGTTATTTGTCTGATCATTAATCTACATTGCTACAGTACATCTATTAGAAGTTGCGGGATGGGGGGGGAAGCACTTAAGTTTCACGGAAACAATTATCTGTAATAATTGGTTATTGCCACCTCTATACTTAGAATGAAGAATAATGCATGTTAATTTTCCTGTATTAAAGATGCTGTGATTTGTAAAAAGTCTGTCTTTTGCGGAATGTCTGGATAAAGAAGCGTTACCCATAGGAATGGATCGATAGTTGAAAACTGATTTCCCTCCTTCCTTCCTTTTGTTTATTTTATGTATAGGTATATATATAAATTGCATCCATGTTCAGAGACAATTTTTAATAATAGGTGTAAAGTTTATTTAACCAACTTTTTCTTTTAAAGCTTCTCACTATTTTTAGGTTTCTTTCAAAATTGCAGTCTTAGACTCAAACCTAACACCCATTAATCATCTAGCAATGTTTTCAAGTTTTACAACAAAAAAGTAATTTGTAAATATTTATTTAGATCTTGGATATTTATTGAAAGCGAAGACACAATGGAGTAACGGAAGTGGAAGAAAGGCTCTTTTTAAAAAGTTTCCTCTGGGTTTTATCAGGGTCAGTGTGAGATTTGTGCTCATGCTAAGCCTTCTGTATGCTGTCACTACAATCTAGATCATACCTATGCCACAGCAGTGGTAATAGGATAACAGTTTAGCTGCCAGCTAACTCCCCACACCAGAAAATAAATTAAATCAGAAATCCAGACCACAGAATTTAATTTCAGCACAGTAATGTAGTGATACGGTAATGTTCGCTCCGGTTAAGGAACTTTTGCAGACACAAATATTCGCAGGGATCTCTTAGATGTGGACAGTGCTCCATTCATTCTAGTGAGCAAAGTAGCTTCCTATATACACACAAAACCATGTCAGTTTGCTTCCTCTGTTAAAATGTATGGAGCAGCTGTTACGAAGAGGGAAACTCCATATAAGCTTTGGAGTTTTCTGTGTCCAGAAAAGAATGCTAGGTTGTTTATCTACTAACTCCTGCCTAGTGACTTAATATCCCTAATAAATGAGTAAATGACTTTTGTTGCTGTGTTGTGACTATAAAGGAAGCCATCATTAATACTACAAGTGCAACGAAAGAAATACTTTGATTATTTTGCAGATTCCCACAATGAACTTCGGTCCAACCCTATAAAAGCAAGTTTTTGTGAAAAACTCTTTTGGTGTAAAATCATTCCAGGATATGTAATATTTAACTGATAGCTGCATGAAATTTGTGTTCTTTTGGCTCTCTCTCTCTTTTCTTTTTTTTCCCCTTTTTCTTTTTTGTCTCTGTTGACACGGTTGCACCTTTTCAAGTTACTACAGTGTGAAAACTGTGTGTTTTTTAAGAAAAATCAACAAACGAATAACAAAAAAAATTGTGGCCTGGTTTTGTATAAGTTTTAGGGGGAAATATTGTTTTAGGAATCCTGATTTTAAAAATATTTTTTCCTGCAAATCATAAATCTATATTAAGGTGTTGAGCTTAGCCACTATGCACATTGTAATTTACTCATTGTGGCTGTCCAGTTCTATGATGCATTCTGGCATTTTGTAAGCTGCTCTGACTAGCAATATATAGAGTCATTAAATGTGTTAACATTGGTTAATAAATGTATTTGAAAAGGCATCATCTGTGTGTGTCTCTGTGTATGTGATATTACTGATGGCCTTTTTCATATTACCACTGGCCACAAAGTGTAATACAGTGGACCCTTGACTTACAGACGGCTTGACTTGTATTTGAAAAGGCATCATCTGTGTGTGTGTCTCTCTCTGTGTATGTGATATTATTGATGGCCTTTTGCATATTACCACTGGCCACAAAGTGTAATATAGAGAATGTGCACTGAGCAGACGGCTTGACTTACAGACTTTTTGAGTTACAGACTTCTCTGGCCGCAAAATTTAGGTTTGACTTGCAGACTGAGATTTGACTTACAGACCAGAAAAAAACCAAAATGGAACAAAAACGGCCTGTTACGGGATTAATCGGTTTTCAATGCACTGTAGGTCAATGGAGACTTGATTTACAGACTTTTTGACTTGAGAACTGCCTTCCAATACGGATTAAGTTCTCAAGTCAAGACCCCACTGTATAGAGAATGTGCACTAAGTCCTGTTAAGTTCAGTGGGATTTACTCCAAAGTAAATGTGTATATATGATTGTAGAATTAACCCTCATGTACCAGGGTTTTTTTAACTTGCATTATTTTTGGCATATGGAATAGTTGTGCTAGTGTCATATAGGAAAGGAGCATTTGTCTATGCAGAATTAGGTTCCTTCCACACAAATGCCCAGGGACGTGGTGGCGCTGCGGGCTATACCGCAGAAGCCTGTGCTGCAGGGTCAGAAGATAAGCAGTCGTAAGATCGAATCCACGCGACGGAGTGAGCTCCCGTCGCTTTGTCCCAGCTCCTCGCCAACCTAGCAGTTCGGAAGCATGCAAATGCAAGTAGATAAATAGGTACCACCTTGGTGGGATGGTAAAACAGCGTTCCCTAGTCACGCTGGCCACGTGGCAATGGAAATTGTCTTCGGACAAGCGCTGGCTCTATGGTTTGAAAACAGGATGAGCACCGCCCCCTAGAGTCGGACATGACAGGACTAAAAATGTCAAGGGGAACCTTTACCTTTTTTACACAAACACCCAGAAAAGCACAAGATGGGATAAAAGTAAAATAAAAGAGTAAAACATACACTTGTTAATTGTGCTGTATTTCATGAATTCAGTAAATTCCAGCATCCTTCCATTGGGAGAACAGTCCATTTTTCTGTCAAGTAACAGACAACCAAAGCACATCATTCTGCTTTGCTGCATTGGGGTTTGCTGGCAAATAGCAATGAGTCATGCCTTTTCCCTAATACGTTACCTTCGCTTGGGGGGTGGGGGAATTACCACAGTTGTCAAAACAAATAGATTTGTTGGGGTGGGGGGAATTGTCTCCACCATTTTTTCTTCTTTTCTCTTCTAGTAGAAAAATAACTCTGCATTGCAAGAGGATTAAATCTGGGGACTATCTATAACTGTAACTGGTAACATCATTTAACACTTACATTGAGGGGTTCTGTGTGGATTCTGGAGGGAAGAAAGGAGCTCTAGAGTAGACTTCTCTCACCTTAGGATATATGCTTTAATGCATTTTTCTCTCAGGATAGACAGCCTTCATCTTCTCATTATTATTATTATTATTATTATTATTATTATTATTATTATTATTATTATTATTATTATTATTATTATTATTATTATTATTATTATT